AGGCATCAGGTGAAAAGAATTTGCCCAAACGTTTCCGTCCTGCCGCGGGAATGACCCCTGCGATCGTCGGTTGTCAGCCGACGACTCAGCCCACTGGTCCACAGGACGTGCGGGTGTTGGTCACATCGTGTCTGGGTGGGAACGGGCGTAGGCTCATTTCTGCTTCTCAATTACATACTTCCAGTAGGCCTTTTCCTTGTAAACAAGGTGGCTTGAATTGATGTTCGGGTGGGTGGGGGGGGGGGAGGGGTCGGGGGAGTTCAGCCATATGTAAGGCGAGTAAATGATCACAGATGTTCACATTGAGGCCGACATGTTCATACTGATCTTCGTGACGATGGTTCATTTACGTTTGCCTCGGATAGTCAACTAATATGAAGGTTATTTACATGGGGCTTCAGTCCGTACTCTTATAAGGGTTCTCAAACTGGCCAATTTAGTGTGCATACTGTCGAAGGTGTGTCATATACTTTAATGTGTATGACACAGTTGACTAGAACAACCTCAACAGTGTTATACTGCACGGATTGCAGTACTGTGCAGTAGAACAACATTGCATCAATACAGCAACATACACCCCGGATGGCTCTAGAATGACACAAGACAGATGGATTCCTTCCCATATTCCTTCTAATGCATGACAGAACTGATGAGTTTGGTAAAGCATACACTCTTAAAGATGGATATGATCAACTTTGAGCATGCTGAGGGCAGCAATATAACAGGAACTGCAACAGGGCTTTAGTAGGTTTATAGCAAAGTGAAATTCACACCATTTATTCTATCCGTCAACATTCTAGTATGCAGTTCGAGCCACACGTCTATGGATCATTCATTAAGGTCAGCAGACTTCTAGACATGACTGCTGCAAGGCTCAGGGTCGGCTGCAAGTGCTGCTGGCAGTCTGCACCACCTGCTGCTGAAGTAGATGAGACCAAGTGTAAACTGTCAGTAGAACTATTCACACGTGTAACTGAACGTGGGCAAAAATATTGCAGCATTCTGAGCTAAATGTAACGAATGTTTAAAAAATATGTACGTGCTTCTCTCTAAAAAAGATCCACTGCCAGGAATCTCAGCCTTAACCAGACTTCATAGTTTACAATTACTCGGGAGATATTGATTTCAACGTTTTATGCTGAATTTGAAATGATATTTTAGATTACTCATTATAATGAAGATAACAGTGACAGTTAACTGTTGATGTAGACTGTAATGGTTCTGTAACGTGGTCTAATTAAGGCATAACTTAATTCCTCGTTCTTGTGACTGTTTTGTCTCCCTGTTAGACCTTCGAATGCTAGAATGAATTCATTTTTGGTCTAGCTTCACGCAGGTCGGCGTTCAATCCCCGACCATCCAAGTTATTGGGCATAAATCCGTTTCCCCGTCCCATCCCGAATCCTTATCCTGACCCCCTTCCAAGGGGGGTATATAGTCGTAATTGCTTGGCGCTTTCCCCTGATAATTCCCTTCCCTCCCCTTCCTCAGTATTGCCGTCGTAAAGTGGCTCGGATGTCACGCCACAACAAACTGTTGTCAGCGCTGTCATTCTTACTCTTCAAAAACCACCAGGAAGCCGGATTTTCTTGGCCTTTACGGCGCTGAACATTGTGGTGTTATTCTCCTCTCTCTCTCTATGCTGAGATGACAATAAAGGAAACTAGAATTTTTCACTTTTCAAAAGCATAGGAAACCATGAAAAATACGGACCCGATGTTGTAAATATTAACGAATGATAATTTGATAAAAAAAAACATCTGGTGTTTAGTTGAAATTCAAATTGGCTATTGTTTTTGTAACTTATTCATAACATTATATTTTAATTTTTTTATCATCGTAACTGTCAGAGCACATCTGATTATTTTATAGCTTATAGAGAACATCTGACATTTATGTAACTCATTAATAACGTTCAGAGGGTCATCTTTTTTTTTTTTTTTGCTTGGATATTCCTGCGCGGGCTCTAAGCCTATGGCTGGCCCACTAATTCTGATAATTTTTGCAGATGTCAAAAAACATTAATTTTTGCAACTGTCATAGAGCAAGATTGGAGTGTGTCCTTTTGTCTCTAGCTCTCCAGCATCGAGAACCTCACTGAACATTAAAAGGTGAGAGAGACGGTGATGCTGGATCCTCTCAGAGGGGGCAGTGGCAGCTGGACCGTCTCCTCCACCTGGCGCCCGTCCACCACCATCTGGAAGGTGACCAAGTCGTACTTCTGCTGGGGATCTGCCAGGGTGACCTGTGCTGTGACTCCGTCGGCCGTGTGGGAGGTGATGGTGACCAGAACGAGGCAGGGAATGTCAACACGCAGCTCCAGGGGACCCACGTCCCCGCACGAGGCTATGGTGGCACCTCCGCCAGATACCAGAGCCGCTCCTACAGTCTGTTGACGTCAACACATCCACCAGTCATATGAGCAACCAAGATATATATATTATCAACAAAGATTCTTCAAAGTAAGAATCAAAAGAAGGCTCCAAGCCTCGAAAACAATTTAGAAAGCCTTTTAAGTCTGACAGGAAAAACAAAAAACATTCATCTCTGCATATCAAAGAAAACCTGGAATATATTATGATAAATTAATTTTTGAGTATTCATCAATATTTATGAATTGCATTGCATCTATCCCAGGTTGGAGGTCATATTCTTGGGGCTAGCATCACCTAGTTTCCCACCGTGGTGGCCGGGTCGGCACTGAAACGAGTGCAGCGTGGCAGAGTGCCACAGCCGCCCATGTGAACCTGGAAATTCTTTTACTGACTTCACCTTTAAAACAGTTTTATGAAATTATTTTTCATATTACCATATAATAAAACATTAACACTAATTTCCTAAAAAAAAGAAAACAAAATTCAATTAACCTTTTCCCATAACAGGCAAATATATGTGATTATGATGTCATTAATCCAGGTCCTCCACCATCAATCCCGGCAAAGTGAGAAAGAGACAAAGAGACTAAACAGCAGACATAATGAGAGAGAGAAACAAACCAGGGCGACCTGGGCACTGCCGGATGCCTATTCCACTTATACTGCATTTTAATTATTTTATTGCAAATTAAAATAACAATTTAACACTAATATTCACCGAGCAGGCTCCGATCACAGCCGTATACCAGATTTATCATATTAAACTAGTATATTAGTGTACTGCAGTTTATGTTGAGATATAGTTCTTGGGGCCCAGGTACTCGGGGAAGGAAGGAGGGTTGAAGGGTAAGGGGGAGAGACACAGAGACAGAGAGAGGGGGGGGGGGCGGTGTTCACTGTATTGTCTCCGTTTTTATTGTATTCAAAGAAGAATCACGTGGAGGTAAGGGAACCACGAGGCGGTAAGGGAGGGGGCACCACGCGTTACCTTGGAAGGGTGATGACAGACGACATGCAGGTCACTCGTCTGGGACATGATCTCGACGTCGGGGTCAGCAGCGAAGGTCTTGGTCCTGTTGAGGTCAGCGGCCGGTAACACAGCGTAGGCCAGAGTGTCCTGTGCTGGAGCAGGCCCGTGGTCCAGCCACGCCCTGGCAACCCACACAACTGATTAGTCTCGGAGGTGTGTACATACTCGCATATTTTCACTGGCAGGATCGAGCTTTAGTTCTTGGATGCCGCCTTTCTATCAATCAGTTGTCAAATGCAACAACTCTTTTACTTATTTCTCGATTATATCTGAGTGTATGTGTGTATTTAACTAGTTGAAGTTCTTACAAGGGTCGAATTCCGGCTCTTTGGTCCCGCCTCAGTCAACTTTACTTTTTTGTTAAATGAACTTAAAAACTGTGTATACACTCTGTGTCTACCACATCACTTCCAAGTACATTCCATTTGTTAATAACTGCTCTGACACTGAACAAAATGGCCTCATTTAGGTATTCGGCATTTCCACCCCTTGTTCCCTTGTGCGTGTACCACCTGTGTTAAATAGTCTGTCTTTACACTATCAATTCCACTTCGAAATGTATGTATGTGTGTGTATTCACATAGTTGTATTCACCTAGTTGTGTTTGCGGGGGTTGAGCTCTGCTCTTTCGGCCCGCCTCTCAACTGCCAATCAATCAACTATTACTAACTACAAACTAACTACTTTTTTCACACACACACACACACACACACACACACACACACACACACACACACACACACACACACACACACACACACACACACACACACACAGACACACACACACACACACACACACGAACAGGTTGTGGAAGCAAATACTATTCATAATTTTAAAACCAGGTATGATAGGGAAATAGGACAGGAGTCATTGCTGTAAACAACCGATGCTCGAAAGGCGGGATCCAAGAGTCAATGCTCGATCCTGCAGACACAACTAGGTGAGTACAACTAGGTGAGTACACACACACACACACACACACACACACACACACACACACACACACACACACACACACACACACACACACACACACACACACACACACACACACACACACACACACACACACCCAGGAAGCAGCCCGTAACAGCTGTCTAACTTTTGTTTCTGCCAGCGCCGGAATCGATCCAGAACCCTAGGATTACGAGTCCAGAGCGCTGTCCATTCAGCCCAGGTCCCTCGTGTTCTCTTGTTTTTGAAGTTGCTGGTTTCAGGAATTCCTCTTTGTCAACTTGGTCGATTACTGTTATTATTTTGTATGTGGTGATCATATCACCTCTTTTTCTTCTATCTTCTAATTTTGGCATGTTTCTAGTCTCTAGCCTCTCCTCGTAACTCTTGTGTTTCAGTTCCGGAAGCCAATTTGCAGCATGCATTTGCATGTGTGTGTGTGTACTCACCTAATTTTACTTACAGGGGTTGAGCTTCGGCTCTTTGATTCCGCCTTTCAACCGTCAATCAACTGGTGTACAGATTCCTGAGCCTAATAGGCGCTATCATATCTACATTTGAAACTGTGTATGGAGTCTGCCTCTTCCACATCACTGCCTAATGCATTCCATGTGTTAACTACTCTGACACTGAAAACATTCTTTCTTATGTCTCTGTGGTTCATTTAGGTACTCAGTTTCCCTTTATCTTCTAGTACCCCCCCCCCCCCCTGTATTAAATAAACGCTCTCTACCTGCCCTATCAATTCCTCTGAGAATCTTGTATGCGGTGATCATGTGTTTCTCAGCTAACTTTCCTGTTAGAAAGCTGATGCTAGTTTTTCCATCAGTAGAAAGTTAGGAAAGTTTCACTAACCAAACCTATCCTAACCTAAGCGATGTGAGGTTCAGCTCACGTAGTCTCTCCTCATAGCTCATACCCCTCAGCTCGGGTGGTGGCATACCTCTGACGTTTCTCCAGATTAGTCTTGTGTTTGACTTGATACGGACTCCATGATGGAGCTTCATATTCCAAGATTTATCTGACATGTGGTTTACAAATTTCTGAATGTTTCCTTACTCGAGTAAGTTCTTATGTTGGCCAACCTGGCAAATGCCGCTGATGAGATCCTCTTGATGTGGGCTTCAGGGGATAGGTCTGGTGTGATATCAACCCCCAGGTTTTTATCACTCTGATTTTTTAAGGATTTCAGCTCCCAAATGGTACCTTGTATCTGGTCTTCTGCTCCCTGCACCTATCTCCCTACACCTATCTCCATTACTTTACATTTGTTCAGGTTAAACTCTAATTGCCATTTGTTGGACCATTCCTTCAGTTTGTCCAGGTCATCTTGAAGCCTCATGCTGTCCCCCTCTGTCCTAATCCCCTCTCATAATTTTGGCATCATCACGAAACTTTGAGAGGAATTAGTCTATACCATCTGGAAGATCATTTACGTATATAAGAAACAGGATAGGTCCAAATACAGAGCCCTGTGGGCCTCCACTGTTGACATCTCGCCATTACAGGTCTCGCCTGTCACAGTAGCTCTCTACATCCGGTTATTTAGGTACTTATCTAGTAGAGCACCCTACCAGTTACTCCTGCCTGTTTCCCTAATTTATGCTCCAACCTGTTACGGAGTACTGTGCCAAAGGGTTTCTAACAGTCCAAGAAAATGCAGTCTACGCACCCTTCTCTTTCTTCTTTAATCTTTGTCATCTGATCGTAGACCTACCAGTGTGTGTGTGTGTTTCCGCATATCTGAAGATAGCTTCAGCTACAAGACAGCTCCCAACCGGAGCTCCAGTTTAGCGTGAAACACTTACGTGAAGATGTTAATGTTGACATTCTTATTGGTGCGGGTCTCAGCGGAGGTGAGGAGGCTGTAGTGATCTTCGAGGAAGACGTAGCCGACGCTACGGTGGAAGAGCCAGGCCGGGGCGTCCTCCTGATGCTGGCCCTGCAGGAAGGTCTCCATCCCGCCGTCCTCACGCCCAATAACGTACTCCCCTGCGAAGCCCACCTGAGGGAACGACCGAGACCCAGAGGAGCTGTTAGACAAGATATGGAGAACCAAGTGAGGGGACGAAAATGGAAACCAGACTCAATACAATACCCCTCGGCACAGGTACACGTTATCTCCTCCTTGGCACGGAACCTGTCCTACCTCGGCATATGCTTTACCTGAGAGACTTTCAATTGGGAGAAACTGGTTGTTAGTACCCTTTAGTTTGAACTAGAAAACAGCGTGGTTACCCCGAATCAAATTATGCTAACCAAACTAGGTTAGTTTGGAACGTAATCAAAATGTATGTAGCACCATAAGACTTACTGGGCAGGTCAGGTTGTGCAAACTCTTAATCACATCTAGTCCAACCACTTGGGCTGGACGGTAAAGCGACGGTCTCGCTTCGTGCAGGTCAGCGTTCAATCCCCGACCGTCCAAGTGGTTGGGCATCATTCCTTCCCTACCGTCCCATCCCAAATCCTTATGGTGATCCCTTCCAAGTGCTATATAGGCATAATGGCTTGGAGCTTTCCCCTGATAGTTCAATTCAATTCAATTAATCACATCTACGTAAGCTAAACATTGTAGAAACACCACCACGGGCTCCTTGATAGTCCTCCGCGCTACCTTAACCCGTCAACACCTGGGCCGAGGTAAAGCAGGCATAACTAACCCAGCCTTAACCTCACCTGGGTCAAGGTGGTGATGACACTCTCCCCAGTAGCGTCCTCAGGGGTTAGTGTGAGAGCCGAGCCAACCACCACAACGACGTCTTCGAAGAAGAACCAAGACTTGAGCCAGTTAAGAGAGACGTGTGGACGGTCGTATACCATAGTGGTCAGCCCGACCCGGCCGTCCGTCACTCCTCCGGCAAACGTCGCGTTGTTGAAGAACCTCTCCACATAGGAGACTTCCAATCTGTACTGTGACAAGCATATATGATTTCAATTTCACGACGAAACTTGAGACAAAATCAGAAAGTAGATGAATTGAGAATGGCAAACAAAAGGAAACAAAAGTATAAAGACCAATATAGACATTGTAAAAAAAATATTCTGATATTGACATTAGTGGAATTGAAATTTCCGACATTTCTGCATTGTTTGACCAAAGGTTAAAACTTAAAACAGACGCAGATTAAAAATCTAATTTGTAGGCATCAGTGAAATAGTTCATATAAATACATAACATTTTTGTAGATGCTATGTATGATTCTCCTATAGAAGCTGTATACATATGTGGAGCTATGCACCACACAGAGCCACACCTCACACCCAGCCACACCTCACACCCAGCCACACCTCACACCCAGCCACACCTCACATCCAGCCCCACCTCACATCTAGCCCAACCTCACACCCAGCCACACCTCACACCCAGCCACACCTCACACCCAGCCACACCTCACACCCAGCCACACCTCACACCCAGCCACACCTCACACCCAGCCACACCTCACACCCAGCCACACCTCACACCAGCCACACCTCACACCAGCCCCACCTCACACCAGCCCCACCTCACACCAGCCACACCTCACACCAGCCCCACCTCACACCAGCCCCACCTCACACCAGCCACACCTCACACCCAGCCACACCTCACACCCAGCCACACCTCACACCCAGCCACACCTCACCCCAGCCACACCTCACACACCAGCCACACCTCACACACCAGCCACACCTCACACCCAGCCCCACCTCACACCAAGCCACACCTCACACCAGCCACACCTCACACACCAGCCTCACCTCACACCTCACACCCAGCCCCACCTCACACCAGCCACACCTCACACCAGCCACACCTCACACCAGCCACACCTCACACCAGCCACACCTCACACCCGCCCCACCTCACACCCAGCCCCAGCTCACACCCAGCCACATCTCACACCAGCCACACCTCACATCCAGCCACACCTCACACCAGCCACACCTCACACCAGCCACACCTCACACCCAGCCCCACCTCACACCCAGCCACACCTCACACCAGCCACACCTCACACCAGCCACACCTCACACCCAGCCCCACCTCACACCAAGCCACACCTCACACCAGCCACACCTCACACACCAGCCTCACCTCACACCTCACACCCAGCCCCACCTCACACCAGCCACACCTCACACCAGCCACACCTCACACCAGCCACACCTCACACCAGCCACACCTCACACCCGCCCCACCTCACACCCAGCCCCAGCTCACACCCAGCCACATCTCACACCAGCCACACCTCACATCCAGCCACACCTCACACCAGCCACACCTCACACCAGCCACACCTCACACCCAGCCACACCTCACACCAGCCACACCTCACACCCAGCCACACCTCACACCAGCCACACCTCACACCAGCCACACCTCACACCCAGCCACACCTCACACCCAGCCACACCTCACACCCAGCCACACCTCACATCCAGCCACACCTCACACCAGCCACACCTCACACCAGCCCCACCTCACACCAGCCACACCTCACACCCAGCCCCACCTCACACCAGCCACACCTCACACCAGCCACACCTCACACCAGCCCCACCTCACACCAGCCACACCTCACACCAGCCACACCTCACACCCAGCCACACCTCACACCCAGCCCCACCTCACACCAGCCACACCTCACACCCAGCCACACCTCACACCCAGCCACACCTCACACCCAGCCACACCTCACACACCAGCCACACCTCACACCATCCACACCTCACACCCAGCCCACACCTCACACCCTGCCACACCTCACATCCAGCCACACCTCACACCAGCCACACCTCACACCAGCCCCACCTCACACCAGCCACACCTCACACCCAGCCCCACCTCACACCAGCCACACCTCACACCAGCCACACCTCACACCAGCCCCACCTCACACCAGCCACACCTCACACCAGCCACACCTCACACCCAGCCACACCTCACACACCAGCCACACCTCACACCAGCCACACCTCACACCCAGCCACACCTCACACCCAGCCACACCTCACACCCAGCCACACCTCACACACCAGCCACACCTCACACCATCCACACCTCACACCCAGCCACACCTCACACCCAGCCACACCTCACACCCAGCCACACCTCACACCCAGCCACACCTCACACCCAGCCACACCTCACACCAGCCACACCTCACACCAGCCCCACCTCACACCAGCCACACCTCACACCAGCCCCACCTCACACCAGCCACACCTCACACCCAGCCACACCTCACACACCAGCCACACCTCACACCATCCACACCTCACACCAGCCACACCTCACACCCTACCTGTGGTATATCAGTGGTGTAGAGGTTGGTAACGCCAGGGACCTTGGCCCAGTCATAAACAAGGAAGACTTCCTGATTCTTGGAGCCATATTCTTCGCTGTCCACGAGGACCGTCATGAACCCATCACCCTGTCAAAGACGTTTCATGACAGTTATGGTAACAGTTAAATGACTAATTGGGACTGAGGTTGATAAATGAGTTATAGGTTACTTAGCAAGCACAGGCTTTAAGAACGCATTCTAACGTATACGTGTATGTGCATATATATCAGACAACTAAGTACATATTTTGTATAACTTATCAATGGTCCAGCAGAGCCGCCACCAGTATTATTCAGTTTTCTTTGTTCATGGGATGAGGAGTGAATTTAGGACAAATGGTCTGGCCCTATAGGACCAGACTTGACTTTGATAGCTTGGTCCAACAAGCTGTTGCTTAGAACGGCCCGCAGGTCCTCATGTTCACAACAACCTGATTGGTCTAAGACTTCCAGCAGAAACTTAAATGTCTAATTGAGTCTTGAACAACTCTACAGTCGTTCTGGCAATGTTTCTTATCTTGGCTGGTAATATTCACAAAATATTAATTGATTGTGCCTATGACACCTCTACTCCTCAGTGGTTCTATTCTGAATTTTTTACCACATTGTTTGCTGCAGAATGTCATTTTCCTGTGGAAATTTGTTCTCTGGTCATCCAGTATATGTATATATTATGTATATATGTATATATTATGTGATACCTCTTTGCTTCCTTTCCAGAATACACGTTGAGAGCTCTGAGACGGTCCCAGTAGTTTTGGTGGTTTATCGTGTCTCTACTTATCTTATATGTTCTCTGCATTCCCTCTGTTTCAAAGATCTCTTATGCTCTGAAAGGAGAATTGAGTACAGAACAGTACTCAAGCACAAGTGATTTGAATAGTAGGAACATTTTGGTGGAACACCTCTGGGCTTGAAGGTTTTCATAATCCACACTTTTATCTTCTTGGCTGATGCTATATTTGCCGTGCTATATGTTCGTTAAACGATAGGTCGTCTGACTTGATTCCCAGAGCCTTTACACATTGTTCTCCTTCACTGAGGAGGTCTGCATCTCGTTTAAGGTCTTTATTTGTACAATACCTAAGTATCTGGAACTTATCACTGTTAAACATCATGTTATTTTCTGTTGGCCAGTCGAAGACTGTTGATATCACCTTTAAGTTTTTCAATGTTTTCAGCAGAAGTAATGTTCAAGCTGATTCCTGCATCGTCTGGAAGAGATAACATGAAGCTTCGACGTATTTTGTTTATAACTGAGATAAGAATGAGAAAAACCAGTGAAGCAAGGACTGTGCCTTGAGATACAGAACTTTTCACTGTGATTGGCCTTAATTTTGTTTGTCTGATTGTTACATTTAGAACTGCGAGTTTGCAAGAGAAATATATAGTAGATATGATAGACACAATAGGTCGAGAGTCAGTACATTAGACAACCAACGTCTAGAAAGGCGAAGCCCAAGAGCTAATAGCTCAATTCTTCAGGTACAATAGTAAAATACTCCATTGTTTCATTTAATTAGGACGTGTATGTCCTTCTAGCCATTTGTCACCACTTTTTAAAGCATTGAAACCATCATTCATTTCCATCATTAGAAATTCGAACTCAAGTCTCAAAAGTGCGGAACTGTTGTCCTGCCAACCAGGGCATGGGTGCTCAAACTAAAGAAGGATCTTAGAAGTACTTAACTGGTACCGAACAGATTTAAAACTTTCCTGGAGCACCATAACATATCTGGAGGTATTTCACCCATTCTTCCACGTCACACATAATTACCAACGCTGTTGTGGATTCCCTTTTTTATATTTCATTCTGTTATCGTTCTTCAGAGAAAAGGACCCCCTGTTCTTTAGCTAAAATGTCTTTGTCTCGTGTCCTTCCTGCTCTGACGCTAGAAAATAATGTGATTTACCTGGAAGTAACCATTGATATTCGAACCATCCAACCAAGTTTCTGGTCTAACTGTGCGGTTGGAGAGGATCCTGACGGAGGCCATAAAGTCCCTCCGCTGGTGCACCGTCAGGTCCGAGCTGGAAGGGAAAGGTTGGGATCGTAATTGAGCAGTGAAAAGACACTAAATTGTTATATATTCAATCCAAGGATCTCAAAAGCTCAACCGCCTAAACATACATCGGATAATACTAGTTTGTTTCTGGCGCTCACTTGAAGAAGTACTTGTGGCCGGAGAGGGCGTATGCCGGGTCCGGGATTGGGTGACTGTAGCGGTGAAGGACGGCCTGCACCTCCTGCTGGTGGCGTCCCAGCTCCAGCAGCAGGCTCCCCGTCTCCTCCACACCACCTTCCGTGGCGGCACTTGTCACCTCGTAGCCTCGGGGTTAATTTAATGATTATGTAATTAGCCGGAACTCGTGACACTTCAAGGTAAATGCATCACTAATACTACTGCACCCAGCAATTTCAGAACGTTGTAAGGACGTTACTATGACGTTACAACGTAAAAAAAATGTCTGGTTACTGCTGGTTCTTGGGTGAAGGGGTTTATAAATGTAATAATTTTACTCCGAAAAAAAGTTTTTGTTCATACAGTACACACAAAAGCATACATAAAAGAAAATACTTTTTGTTATCCACTTGTCAAGCAGTAATGGAAATGGGTTTTGGAAATTATGTATATACACTGAGGCCGTATCCGGGATTTATGCATAACACAAAAAATAATTAATTTTAAATAGTAGAAACTTTGACAAAGGACTGTTAACACTTTCTGAAATAATGGAGATATTTAAAATTAAAAACAAAAATTAAATTAAGAAGTAGGTATAAGCCGAAGACGGGTATACACACTCCTCCATCCATGAAGGACAGAAGAAAATTTATATATGTTGGTTAGCATTGTAAATGTGTGGCCACGTCTGTGGTAGAAAACAAAATCTCCACCACTGACCAGCATCAACACTTGAGTGAGAGGTGTTACCATTAGTGATGAAGCGGCCGAGGGTGGTGGGCTCGAAGGTGCTCCCCCTGAAGAGCCACTGCTCACACTCCAGGAAGGCGGCGAAGATTCCCTCGACAGTGTCGTCGTCGAAGTCCAGATCAGTCCCCGTGTACCAGGACATCAGCCGTGCGTCGTACTGTTGGGAGAGGAGACAGTGATGGAGGGAGATGTCATGCCAGTGATTGATAGAGAGGCCTTGGCAATGATTGATGGAGCAAGACTAGTAACTGTGTTACTCACCATAGACGTAAAATGCCTTCTATAGTGACTGTTGTGGTGCTTAGCTCAACAAACTATGAGGTTCAGTTCCGGAACCCATAATGTGCCTCTGTAACCCTTTCCACCACCACCCACGGGATGGATATGGGATGCATAATAAAGAAAGAAATTGAATTCGTGTTTGAGCCCTTACCCTGAGCATCTCTTTGCCGTAGTGACCGTTGTAGATGTTCCACAGAGTATGGTCGAGGTACCCGTTTTCTGTGGTGTGCTTCCCCTTCTGGTTGTGCTGGTTGAGGCAACCGTCTGGTCTGAGGAGATATGAGATAGACTAAGAGCTGGAATATGAGGACTAAGGAACGGTACTAACTACATGTGGACCATCGGAGACCGAACGCCGACCCTCCAAGTAGTGAGGCCGTCGCTGTAAAGTAGGGGCCTGGGGCACCTCAGGGCGAGAATCCTCATTATTAGTTAAGGATTTAACGATTTGTTGCTCGATTGATTACCTAACATTATTTTATGTTTGATTTATTGTTCCATTTGCTAACTTAGTGATGTAATGAATAGTCAATTGACTGATTGCATAGATAATGAATTGACTTAAAAGTTGATTACATGATTGATGAATTACATGATTGATTGATTACATGATTACATGATTGATGAATTACATGATTGATTGATTACATGATTACATGATCGCTACGCGTACTAGTGGCTGAACAAGAATGTAACAACTCTTGTATATATCTAAAAAAAAAAAAAGAATGAACGGTGAATGAAAAATGGGCCGATATATTGATTGAGTTGCCGAATAACTGGCTACAGGTATTCATGGCACGTTTCCCATTGTCGGGGGTTAGGCTTATCGAGGTTTCTCAGGCCTAGGCCAATCATTTTTCTTTCAAGAAACTACCCACAAGAGCCTGGCCTCACTTCCAGGTACCTGTTAACTGCTAGGTTCACCTCCTGAGCCCATTGCGTAATTCCAACATTTTCCACTACACAGCATGAAAGTTGCACAGCAGGTAGGAAGAGCAGGTAAAAAAGCTAATCAAACAATTGGAATAATCAAGTGTACCTTCGATTTCAAGGGAAAAACAATTTAGTGATTCAATTGTATAAATCTCTGGTGCTTCATGAACAAGAAGTAGTACATGAAACATTTAGATTACTGTATACAAGCTTGGAGACCTCATCTTCAGACAGATTTAACTTCTCTGGAGAAAGTGTAACACCGGGAAACTAAAATCATTCCAGGGCTAAGTCAACTCACGTATGAGGAACGTTTGAGGGCCACAGAGCTAACAACACTACAGGGCGGATTTTATTGAAAGGTTTAAGATACTGAACAAATTGGAGGATGTTGATCCGGAAAATTTCTTCGGAAGGTCAGATGTAACGCAAACAAGGAGCAACGGTTTCAAGCTCAACAGGAGGGGGTCCACTACAGTAGGGGTCGTAGGGGTCCAGGATGGGTATGGGGTCCACTACAACTAACAGGATGTGTATGGAGGCTACTACAACCCACAGGATGGGTATGGGGTCCACTACCCCCCCCACAGGATGGGTATGGGGTCCACTACCCCCCCACAGGATGTGTATGGGGGCTACTACAACCCACAGGATGGGTATGGGGTCCACTACCCCCCCCCCCCCCCCCCCACAGGATGGGTATGGGGTCCACAACTGCATAAGTGAGCTAAATTATCTCTAGTACATGAAGCAAACTCAAGAAAGTAAGCACCAGGCTACGGAACACTACACGGGGGGGCTTTGAGCCTACCTGAGACCCTCTTCATTCCAAGGCTGTCTGAGGGCCAGCTCACGGTGAAGGGCCTCAGACACCAGCTGGTGGACTTGAAGATACGTGCCCCGCAGGAGGCCCTCGACCTCGGCCAGCATCGCTCGCATGGCCAAGTTTCCTCCTGTAGAGACAAACAGGAACATGTTCACCTATTACAAATAAGAAATGACCAGGTAACATTATAGACGCGAGAATGATAGATTGTTTCAAGTATAAAAATGAGTTTCGGTGGATACATGTAGCCTCGTATGGGCCAATAGACCTTCTGCAAGAGTCTTCATATCTATGTTCTTATGCAAGTACTTATCTTATCTGTCTTTCAGATGCAATCCGATGAAGGTTTTCCGTTTAACTAGTTGAACTAAACCTTCCAACATCCCCCTCCCCCTCTCACCTCTGTCACGAACTCCCGCAACCCAACACACACATACACACATCATTATAAGCACGTCAACAAATTGGAAAAGGTACAAAGACATGCAACTAAATGGCTCCCAGAAGTGAAGGACAAGAGCTACGAGGAGAGGAAAGAGGGATTAAATATGTCAAAACTAGATGATAGAAGAAAAAGAGGCGATATGATCACTACGTACAAAATAGTAACGGGAATCGATAAAATTGATAAGGACAAATTCGTGAGACCTGGAATTTCAAGAACAAGAAGTCATAGATTTAAAGTAACTAAACAAAGCTGCCGAGGAAATGTAAGACAATTCACTTCAGCAAACAGAGTGGTAGACAGTTGGAACAAGTTAAGCGAGAACCGTCAGTAGTTTCAAAGCGTTAAACGACAAAGCGTATTGGGAAGACGGAACACCACTGGCGTAGCTCTCATCCTGTAACTACACTTTGGTAATTTCACACACACACACAGGAATTCATTAGGAACTGATATGATGGAGGCAGATTCCATACACAGTTTCAAATTTAGATACGATAGAGCCTAATAGGCTCGGGAACCTCTACACCAGTTGATTGACAGATGAGAGGTGGGACCAAAGAGCAGGAGCTCAACCTCAGCAAGCACAACTATGTAAGCACAACTAAGCGAATACACACAGACAGAAGGAAGCTTGAGAATCAGATGAGTCAGATGGATAAGTTTAGATTTAGGAAAGACTTAGGTAAAAACTGGTTCGGTAAACTGATTGTTGATTTGTGGAACCAATTACCGCGTAACATGGTGAAGGTGGGGTCCCTCCATTGTTTCAAGCGCGGGTTGGACATGTATATGAGTGGGATTTGGTGGTTATAGATAGGATCTGCCTCGCATGGGCCAATAGGCCTTCTGCAGTTACCTTTGTTCATATGTTCTAATGTTCTTATGTTAGAAAGTTTTCATGTAGCATAAGAGTAGTGGGGAAACGGAATGAACTAAAGAAGCAGGTTGTGGAAGCACACTACATTCATAATTTTACAAGTAGATATGATAGGGAAATAGCTGAGGAGTCATTGCTTCATACAACCGGCGGCTTGAAAGGCGGGATTCAAGAGCTAAAACTCGATTTTGCAGGCACAAACAGGCGAGTACACAAACAGACGCTGATATCCTGGCGAGACAAACACATGGGCAGAGTTTCGTTCACCTGATGCCCTTGCTCACCAAGCTGTGAATATGTTACTGTACGAGAGAGAAATATGGGGAAGATCAGGTGTCAGTACCTTGGACAGCCGACAATTAGAAAAGCGGGGTCCCCAGACAACAGCTGGAACCTCTAGGCAGGGTCCCGGTAGTACAGTCGGGTTCGTTCTTGACTCACAATCGAGAATTCCGGGTTCGAATCCTGGGAGGGACAAAAATGGTTGGGCACATTTCCTTTCACCTAATGCAACTGTTCATCTATCAGTGATATGGTTCTCAGGAGTTAGTCAGCTTCTTGTGGGGTTGCATCCTGGGCTGGGTCAGTAATTTGACCATGGGGGGGGCGGAACCTCGATAAAAGCTAAACGTGAATGAATACACTCTGGCTTCCTGTCCCCCGACACAGTGAATTATTGAAGTATAAATAAATACATAGCCACTTCAAGGAAAAATGGTGCCAGAATATTTATTACAGTCTACCAGAAAACATTTGACACATTTTCTTAAAGAAGACGTATGTATATAGAAAATGAAATAAGTTGCATGGGTAGCTACACAACTTTGCTTTACTCCCAGTTTTATTATTATAATAATTATAATAATAATAATAATAATAATTTTTATTTAGGCAAAGGTACATACATAAAGAGATTTTACAAAGTTTGTTGGCTTTATAGATAAGAGCTAGTACATACAATGCCTAAAGCCACTATTACGCAAAGCGTTTCGGGCAGAATTAATTCATTGTGTCGGGGAACAGGCAGCCAGAGTGTATTTATACACGTTAGGCTTATACCGATGTGCCCCTCTCCTTTCCCCTCCAAGGAGGTATTACTGACCCCGCACAGGAGTCAGTAATACCTAACCCACAACAAGCTGATTAACTCCTGAGTACCTACTTACAGCTAGGTGAACAGAGCAACAGGAAAATGATTGGAAATGATAGGAAATCCCCCCAAATTATTAGGCGATATGAAATGCCCCCAACCACTTCTGTCTCGCCCGGGATTCGAAAACGGAATTCTGGATTGTGAGTCGAGAACAAACCGAACTGACTGTACTACCGGAGAACTTCTGTTGACCAAGATAATCTTTTATTTAAAGAATTAATTTTAATTTTCAAACAATTAATCAAACGTTTTGCCACTCAATCACAGAGCAGTGTTGCACCACTTATTTCACTATACAGTTTAAGGAATACATTTAGATAACCCAATTGCCAGATAAAACAATGAACACAGAATGTTGTCGCTGGTGGCAATGATCAAGTCTTTCTTTTTGTCAGGAACAGGGAACCTGTTTGGTTCCTACAGGTCCCACTAGGCTAACTGGCCGACCTTAACCCCCAGGATGCAACCCACAACAGTTGACTAACTCTCAAATACGTATATTTATTTCTAGGGGAGTGGAGGCATCGGGTGAAAGGAAACGTGCCCAAACACCTTTGTCTTGCATCGGGAATTGAACGAGCTTTCGCTGAACCACTGTTAAAGGTATGCCTTTACCTACATAGTTTTTTCCTGGAACACGACCAGAAAAAACTATAGGTTAGTTTGTCCCCAGTTATTGCTGGGTGAACAAGGGGAGAGGAGCTATAACAGTTAAGGACTGGCACCCAGTCAATCCTTCCAATACAGGGTACGAACTCAGACGAAAGCACTCGCAAGGAGTCTGTCCAATGAAATAATTTTGTTGACCAAGATAATTATCCAGAAGAATACACAAATTGGTTAATTGCAAATAAAAATCACAAACAAATCTAAACAAATCACAGAACACGACCAAACAAATCACAAAACAACAAGTCAAGTGTCGTGCTGTGTATGTCATAGACACGGGTCTTACCTGCCATTTTCCCTGTGTGGTCACCAGCATCCCACACTGGTCCTGCTTGAGTATTGACCCAATATCTGAAAGGAGTTTTGTAGTTCACTTCCTGAGCCCACTGTGTACCCCTGTTACCTCTTCCACTCTCACCCACAGGATGGGTATGGGGTCCACTGTCACACACAGGATGGGTATGGGGTCCACTGTCACACACAGGATGGGTATGGGGTCCACTGTCACACACAGGATGGGTATGGGGTCCACTATCACACACAGGATGGGTATGGGGTCCACTATCACACACAGGATGGGTATGGGGTCCACGATCACACACAGGATGGGTATGGGGTCCACTGTCACACACAGGATGGGTATGGGGTCCACTATCACACACAGGATGGGTATGGGGTCCACTGTCACACACAGGATGGGTATGGGGCCCACTATCACACACAGGATGGGTATGGGGTCCACTATCATACACAGGATGGGTATGGGGTCCACTATCATACACAGGATGGGTATGGGGTCCACTATCACACTCAGGATGGGTATGGGGTCCACTATCATACACAGGATGGGTATGGGGTCCACTATCACACTCAGGATGGGTATGGGGTCCACTCTCACCCACAGGATGGGTATGGGGTCCACTGTCACACACAGGATGGGTATGGGGTCCACTATCACACACAGGATGGGTATGGGGTCCGCTATCACACACAGGATGGGTATGGGGTCCACTATCACACACAGGATGGGTATGGGGTCCTCTATCACACACAGGATGGGTATGTCGGTTACTCACACACAGGATGGGTATGTCGGTTACTCACACACAGGATGGGTATGGGGTCCACTATCACCCACAGGATGGGTATGGGGTCCGCTATCACACACAGGATGGGTATGGGGTCCACTATCACCCACAGGATGGGTATGGGGTCCACTGTCACACACAGGATGGGTATGGGGTCCACTATCACACACAGGATGGGTATGGGGTCCGCTATCACACACAGGATGGGTATGGGGTCCGCTATCACACACAGGATGGGTATGGGGTCCACTATCACCCACAGGATGGGTACGAGGTGCCTAATAAATGAACTAAGCTTACCTGAAAAACTATGTTTTTACTTTGTTGTCTCAAATTGATAAAAATGAAACGTTTCCTCAGTGGATAATAATCCTTTAGTATAATTCGTGCATTTTATAATATTTAACATCTGAATAATTACTTATAGTAGCTATTATTATTAACGTACAATAACGTACATGCGAATGTTATTATTGTTATTTATACATTGTGCAATTTATTAGTAATATATGCATACAAGTATACATCCACAAATATCCATAGATACATGCATTCACTCATCTTCAAAAGTGAGTTGAGAGGTGAAGGGAGTGTGATTGTCAGGAGGAAGAAAGTTGCAACAAGTCACAGGTATGTTTACTGACACTCCTGCTGGTACGGTGTCAAGGCTGACTGATCAGACACCTGTGCTGCTTGCCAGCGCTGACCGAACATCAGACACCTGTGCTGCTTGCCAGCGCTGACCGAACATCAGACACCTGTGCTGCTTGCCAGCGCTGACCGAACATCAGGCACCTGTCCTGTATGGCAGCTTATAAATGTTTAAATGGCTCCCCATCATGATGTCTCAACGAGGTCCTTCTCTTCCGTCCATCTTGCAGGGATTAATGTCGCTCATAATTACGAATCGAGATATATCCCTTCTTGCATATGTGATGCAGTCATATATCCATGACGTATTGGGTTCCCCTCATTTGCTCTTGGGCTCGAAGCCCTCCTGGCAGACACTTGAAAGATCTATGGAAGAAAAAAATTGAAAATCCTCAGGATGTCCCTGAGACACTAACCTGTCGAGGAAGGCGATGAGCAGGTCTGGGGGGAGGATGTCTCTGGCCAGCACCGCGCCCTCCCACATGTAGTCCGGCGTCCCTATCACATGACCCCACCAGTTGCTGTCTGAGGGAGACTGATGGTTAAGGCAGTGTTGGATAACACATCAGACGACGAATAGGGCAGTGTTGGATAACTGATCAGACAATGAATGAGGTAGTGTTGTATAACTGATTAGACGATGAGTAAAGTAGTGTTGTATAATTGGAGTGGTAATCCACGAGCTATTTACATTGCTCATACTTTTCTTCTTTTGTAAATACTTATTTACACCAGTGAATTACACCAGCGAGTATTGAAGTAAATACTTATTTACTCCAGTACACTGACCTGTGTTGGGAGGAGCGTCGTAGGTAATGAACGAGAAGCAGCTGATGACTTGGTCAGCGAGGTCCTCTCCTCGGAGGTATCGGTAGGCGAGGGCTCCCTGTCGACGACCGTGGGTCCTGAAGGAGTCCGAGGCGTCCTCCCCATACTGTAGGACACCACCCGGAACGTCACGGAGGGGGGCGGGAAGGTGTATGGGACGCGGGGAGAAGAGACGTCATGGCGTGACAGTCATGACGTGACAGTCATGACGTGACAGACATGACGTGACAGTCATCGCGTGACAGTCATCACACACACACATCATATATATACATATGGAAGAGAGCATGTCTGATTTTTCGAGACTGGAGGACAGACGGTTGAGGGTAGACTCACGTAACTTTCCATGGTGACTTGTGAGTGTACGACGAGTGTCATAGGGAGGGTGGAGGTCGATCCCCATACTAGGTTTTAAGTAGGACTGGTCAAGTATGTTTTCCTGTGACAAATTTTAAGTACGTTCTTTGGCGTCGATCCTCTCCGCCCTACCATTTTCAACACGCATTCCTTTCGTTGTTGATAATCACTCTTGCAATTGCGACCTGTACTATTGAAGTTTAAGAATAATGAGCGCCTTGAAGTTTTTTAACATGTGATTTTTGCAAATTCTCAATAACCATCGAGGCTTAATTATGAAAATCTTGTCAGTTTTATACTATTATTTTTATAATCACATTAAAACTCACTAAATTTATAGATCAAACGCCTTTATGAACATCATTGGGACACTGTTGACCGAGACTCCCTAAACACCTGTTGACCGAGACTCCCCAAACACCTGTTGACCGAGACTCCCCAAACACCTGTTGACCGAGACTCCCCAAACACCAGTCACACATACACACACACACACACACACACACACACACACACACACACACACACACACACACACACACACACACACACACACACACACACACACACAAGTCTAAAGTAAACAGATCAACGACTTTTGAATCTCCCGCCAAGACATACAGGAAATGTCATTGGAATGATAAGAGAAGCTTTCAAGATAAAATTTTACAAGATTGCCCTATATAACTTTTGCTCCAAAAATACTGTCAAAATGACTGAAGTTTCAAATTACGGAAAGATACGCCAAGAGGAGCGTGCGTAAAAGTTTGGGGGACGAACATGGAGGTCGGAGAAGGAGCCATCAGGCTGGAGGAGCGGAAGCAGACTGGCGGAACTAGCGTGACTGGTCTTGTTCATCGCTGAGTCAAACACGCGGCTCATCACTATTTCCACGTCGTCGCGGACTCCGCCTCCTGCAGCTACACACACCTGAAGGAGACAAGTGACACTCTTCAGGGGCCAGATTCACGAATCAGTTACGCAAGCACTTACGAACCTGTACATCTTTTCCCGATCTTTGGCGGTTTTGTTTACCCAAATTAAACAGTTAATGAGCTCCGAAGCACCAGGAGGCTGTTTATAATAATAACAACAGTTGATTGGGAAGTTTTCATGCTTGTAAACTGTTTAATAAATGTAACCAAAGCCGTCAAAGATTGAGGAAAGATGTACACGTTCGTAAGTACTTGCGTAACTGTTTCGTGAATCTGGCCCCAGGTTCTTTCTCAGGATGTGAGAAGCGTTAAACTTGAAGCCAAGCTTTTCCCTAATCAGAAGCGTTCGTCTGTATGCAGTTGTCTAGCTCAGAGGCTCTTGCCTAAATGCCCCGGGCAAAACTTTCCAAATGACGTTGATGCAACAGTGAAAAACAGTTCCAACGTTCTTAAGATGTTGTTTTTCTATGTATTGCCAGCAGGAAATATTTTTGTACACACTGGCCATTCAGTGCGTTTCCAACGTCAAGAATCAGTCGTACTAGAATGCCTTATCTTAACCTTCCACAGGACCCACGAACAGAAAACGGGACACAATGTCAGCTTCGCGAGCTACTACCAATTTTCTAGTACGACAGTATTCGGCCTTAGATAAAGTGTACGTCAGAATGCGACGTGCTATTAAGAGGACGGGTTGGCCCACTTGTGGTCGCGCACTTGAAACGTGACCATATTTTTTATTAATTTTTATTTTTTTATTAATTGGAGTCATTAAACGGCAAATAATACTCATTCCAAGTCATACTAAATAATATACTCTAGTTCAACTAAGAATCATCCTGCATATTATTTTCTGAATGACAATTAGAGGAAGGTGTCATTAGTGAAAATGGTCACAGGGATGAAAGGGTTAGGTACGAGAGGGAAGGTGGTGGAGAGGGAAGGTGGTGGAGAGGGAAGGTGGTGGAGAGGGAAGGTGGTGGAGAGGGAAGGTGGTGGAAAGGGAAGGTGGTGGAGAGGGAAGGTGGTGGAGAGGGAAGGTGGTGGAGAGGGAAGGTGGTGGAGAGGAAAGGTGGTGGAGAGGGAAGGTGGTGGAGAGGGAAGGTGGTGGAGAGGGAAGGTGGTGGAGAGGGAAGGTGGTGGAGAGGGAAGGTGGTGGAAAGGGAAGGTGGTGGAGAGGGAAGATAGGGGACCCACAGGTGCCCGCCTGGTGACGATGGTTACATAAATGAAGACTATTCAGTGAAGATAGTTACAGTGGTGCAGGTTGTGTGAAGTAAAGATGATGGCAATAATGCTGGTAGTTGGAGGTGAAGATAGTGATGATGGGTTTGTTATGAAGATATTTACAGTGATGAGGACAGTGTGTAGTGAAGATGGCCGTCCATCACCCGTGCACCACCGGGTACCCCTTCTAGTTTATTTATAAACTGAAGTCAACACAAGCTGAAGCGGCCATTAATATAACCAAAAATTACGATGTAATCAGTGTTGTCTATAGAAACCAGAGATGAGAATACAAACAACTAAGGCTTTAAACTAAGCTGAATACCTAAACTTACCTAGAGTTATAATACCTAGAGTTAATGACTTTCCACGTCATTAACTCTATCTTTGCAGTCCAGTTTCCTAAAGTCTGACCTTAATTCCATCTCCTTTGTGGGGGGTATTTGTGAATTTAACTAATTGGCAGTTGTCACCTTCAAGCAAACACCGGTCGAGCACCAGGTCATGTGTCTCAAACGTCAATCCTCGATCAATACCCTGAGCAAGAATATTCAGATTGTAAACTCTGTGACAAACCTTTAATGCATTCAATAGAACACTATATTCTTGAATGTGAAACCGTGAAAGATTTTAGACCTCCTGGCCTCTTGTACCACCAACTGTGTAGCTATTACATTGAATCTGGTGTACTGGACGACATCCTAACAATTGATCCAAATTTTGCTTGTCCATTTTAAAGAATGAAGAACAATTTTAGTTATATTATTTTTAAGCTGCGTCTCTTACGAATCCATCCCTGCCCTTGTGCACAATAGAAAGTTGTATTTACATATTCGTTCATTGAAACATTGATTACAACCATGATATATATTTGCTTCAGCCTACAATTCAGACCTATTGTCTTGTGTATGACCCTCTGTCCTGTGTGACAATGAATACCAGCATTATCCTCACTCTAATAAAACCTAATTGAATTCCTCAGATTAGGCGAAATTGTAATTAAATTTTGTCAATAAAGATGTTAATAATAATTAAGTACATTAGTATCGATGTACTAATAACAAAAACAGGAACCTCTTTAAGCACCAGCGTATACACTAAACCTACCAACATAGGACTATGCCTGAACGGTAAGAGTGAGTGCCCCCCAAAGATACAAAACCAGTGTTCTCAATCCCTGTATCGCTGTCTTCCAGGAGTAACTCCATTTTTCGGACATAGTCATCCTTATTCATAATAACTAGTGCATTTGACTTATCAGCCTTGTTAATATGAAATCAGTTATCATTTTTTAGATTTTTGAACGCATTTTATATAATGTTCAAGGGAGTGCATGTTTTCTCTTTCTCAAAGTTGACACATTGTGTGTGTATATTCGACATTCCGGTTTTGAGAGAGCTGCCAGAATCTATATCCCAGGCGCATTCTGGTCACTATAACATCACATTGACGAGTTTTTGTTCTATTAGTTCCATATATCAACGTCTCTTCACGATGTTTATCAGAACTGAAAGATTCTTGTATCGATCCCCGGACAGGTGGAAACATTCAGAAACTTTTTTTTACACCTTGATACCTCTGTTCACCTAGCAGTAAGTAGTCACCTGGGAGCCCTAGGTAACTGTTGTAGGTCCCATCCTGGGGAACGTCAATTAGCGACCCTAGCCCTAGGGAGACCTAGATAAGGTTAACAGGCATCCTGTCCCAGATAAAATGACACCAGATATATCGAAGATATTCACTATTGAGTGGCCAACTTTTCCTTAACAAAAAAATATTAAATTTGAGGGGGAAAAGTGCTAATGGAAAGCGGAACCAACGTACTGTATATGGCTTTACCCATCTCTTCACAGTCACAGGGGACACATCCCACTTACCAAAATAACGGCGTGTAAGCAGGTTAAGCTAGCTGTTCTCTGCGTCAGCCGCCCCATGTTGCCTGTGTGGCCGCACGCTCCAGTGTGTGTGGGGGGGTGTGGCGTGTGGAACACCTGCAGGAGATATGGTGAGCGAGTCGAGGAAGGTGGTGTTATCTGCCTGTCACCAGCTGGCTCGGTTCCTATGGTACAGAGTGCGTGCGTCTCCCTAGTCAAGGCTATCTTCAGTGGTTGAAGATGGGTGGTGGTGGTGAGGTGGTGAGGGGGGGGACAGGGAGGTTTGTGTGGGGGGGGGGGGGCTGGGAGATCTGTGGTAGAGGCTGAGAGGGGGGTGGGACTTGGGGCTATTCTGGGACCTGGAAGGGGGGTAAGTGAAGGGGGTTTGTGGTTTATCTGTACTTCAAAAAAAAAAAAAAATACATAGTTTTACATTATTTTACTTGTCACAAATTTTTGTTTAATATGAACTAGTGGTGATAGAGTTTACCGCCAATCCTCACGAAGCAGCAGTTGGGCTCCACGTGTCACCGATACAGTCATTTGGAGAGTATTTTTTTTTTACCTGCAGACATTAGTTACAGTTGAGTAAATAGTGATTAAGGGGAATGTCTATTTGATCGTCAAGGTCGCCATTCGGAGGCAGAGAGGGGCGGGTGGTGTTAATTTATGTTTTAGTTTATAATCTCTCTCTCTAATATATATATATATATATATATATATATATATATATATATATATATATATATATATATATATATATATTAGAGAGAGAGCCCAGACAGCCAGGAGCACTATGCACCATGGCGTACCTGGTTCCTTAACCACCCGACCACCGTGACTGTACAAAAATCATTGGTAGCCGAGGATATATCCTCAACGACCCGACAGCACTTGGTGGTAAGCTTGGGCATAGATATTTCATCAAATTACCTTATATATATATATATATATATATATATATATATATATATATATATATATATATATATATATATATATATTAGTATATTTTGGTAGCTGTCTTTCCTGTAGACATATATTATTAAATATGACCGAAAAAGTAAGATTAATAATTCTAACACGAATTTTCTCAATCTTTCGTACATTTCTTTTCACTGTTGGAGGTAAATCAAAAATCAATTCTCCAAAATTCATTTTTATTTCTAGTCTGACGCGACACGAGCGCGTTTCGTAAAACTTATTACATTTTCAAAGACTTTAGTTCACAAATACACAACTGAATAGAACTTACGCATCTCCGATTTTATATCTACATTTGAGTGAGGTGGAAGGGGTGATGTGGCATTAACACAAGACAGAACAAGAGGTGGCATTAATAGGGTATTAATTTCATCAACACAAGACAGAACAAGAGGTGGTATTAATAGGGTATTAATTTCATCAACACAAGACAGAACACGAAACAATGGGTATTGAACAGAAGTGTTTGTAGAAAGCCTATTGGTCCATATTTCTTGATGCTTCTATATTGGAGCGGAGTCTAGAGGAGTATATATTTTTGATTTACCTCCAACAGTGAAAAGAAATGTACGAAAGATTGAGAAAATTCGTGTTAGAATTATTAATCTTACTTTTTCGGTCATATTTAATAAAATATATATATATATATATATATATATATATATATATATATATATATATATATATATATATATATAATATATATATATATATATATATATATATATATATATATATATATATATATATATATATATATATATACATATATAAACTGTAAACTCCACATCCCAGAAGGATTCGAACCCAGACAGCCAGGAGCACTATGCACCATGGCGTACCTGGTTCCTTAACCACTCGACCACCGTGACTGTACAAAAATCATTGGTAGCCGAGGATATATCCCCAACGACCCGATAGCACTTGGTGGTAAGCTTGGGCATAGATATTTCATCAAATTACCTTACTTTGTGGGGCCACGTGAAAAACACAAATGCGAACAAGCTTGAATAAGATTGTGATGCTCACGTAGCCCCACAAAGTGAGGTGATTTGATGAAATATATATGCCAAAAATAATCAACAGGTGCTGCAAACAATGGGAGGAACGATTCTAACCCCTCTGGGAGATCATTTACATATATCAGAAACAGTATAGGTCCAAGGACTGAACCCTGCGGGACTCCACTGGTGGCGTCTCACCAATCTGAGACCTCACCCCTCACAGTGACTCGCTGTCTACTGTTGCTTAGGTACTCCCTTATCCAATAGAGTACCTTCCCTTTCAGCTTTTTCACTAGCCTTTTGTGTAGTACTGTATCAAAGGCTTTCTGGCAATCCAGAAATATGCAGTTTGCCCACCCCTGTCTTTCTTGCCTGAGTTTTGTTGCCTGGTCGTAGAATTCAATTAATCCTGTAAGGCAGGACTTGCCATCCCTGAACCCATGTTGATGCTGTGTTGTAAAGTTCCTTCGCTCCAGATGTTCCACTAGCTTTTTTTGCATAATCTTCTCCATCAGCTTGCACGGTATGCAGGTTAGGGACACTGGCCTGTAGTTCAGTGCCACCTGTCTATCCCCCTTCTTGTATATCGGGACTACATTAGCCGTTTTCCATTTTTTTGGCAGTTCACTGTTGCCAGTGATTTATTATACACTATGGAGAGTGGCAGGCACAGTTCTTCTGCTCCTTTCTTTAGTATCCAAGAGGAGATTCCATCTGGGCCTATAGCCTTTGTCACATCCAACTCTAGTAAACTCTTCCTTACTTCCCCGCTGGTAATCTCAAACTCTTCCAGTGGTTCCTGGTTAACTACTACCTCTCTTATCTCTGGAACTTCTCTTTGCTCTCTCCACACACTTTTTTTTTGTGTGTACTCACCTAGTTGTACTCACCTAGTTGTACGCACCTAGTTGTGCTTGCGGGTGTTGAGCTCTAGCTCTTTGGTCCCGCCTCTCAACCGTCAATCAACAGGTGTACAGATTCCTGAGCCTATTGGGCTCTATCATATCTACACTTGAAACTGTGTATGGAGTCAGCCTCCACCACATCACTTCCTAATGCATTCCATTTGTCAACCACTCTGACACTAAAAAAGTTCTTTCTAATATCTCTGTGCGTGTTCCCCTTGTGTTAAATAGACTGTCTATATCTACCCTATCAATTCCCTTGAGAATCTTGAATGTGGTGATCATGTCCCCCACACACGCATGTGTGTGCGTGTGTGTGTTCACCTAGTTGTGTTTTGTGGGGGTTGAGCTTTGCTCTTTCGGCCCGCCTCTCAACTGTCAATGAACTGTTTTTTACTAATTACTTTTTTTTCCACACCACACACACACACACACACACACACCAGGAAGCAGCCCGTGACAGCTGACTAACTCCCAGGTACCTATTTACTGCTAGGTAAGAGGGGCATTCAGGGTGAAAGAAACTTTGCCCATTTGTTTCTGCCTCGTGCGGGAATCGAACCCGCGGCACAGAATTACGAGTCCTGCGTGCTATCCACCAGGCTGTGTGTGCGTGTGTGAGCGCGCGCGCGTATTTTATTGTAAAGTTCAATTCAGGAGTTAAATTTTAAAGGATGTTGATCATCACAGCCAACTCTTTACTCATTCTTGTAAATTAAAATTCTCAACTCCATCTCCAGCTCACGTTATGAAGATTAATCTCTATGTGATCCTTTGTTAGTCAGTTCTGACATCAAACAAAAACCAAATATGTGACTTCTCTATCATTATTTTAATGAAAAATTGTATTTTAACAGCACGAAGTTACCAACTCGATAGGCGCTGCTCGCAGGGGGTCCCACAGGCACTGCCTCGTAGGGGCCCCAACAGGCACTGCCTCGTAGAGGCCCCAACAGGCACTGCCTCGTAGGGGCCCCACAGGCCTTCCGTAGCTCACAATATTCTTAATATTGTAGTTTGTAATCGTTTAAGGCCATACCGCTGGGATGTATGGACAGTGATTTATCCCGCTTCTCGGTGTATATACCCAGTATACTGTAGTGCTGAATTATCCTTAGAACGGAGTAGCTGATACAGCTGGTTACATCCCAGTTTAATCCCAGATTTGTCTATAAATACAAAGCCAGTTTGACTAAATATATAAATTCGTGGAATGCAGCGCGGCATTTTTATTGCAATAAGTCATGCAGCGATTAATTTAATTAACGATTATAAAAACAGCAACATTTAATTAAATCGTTATCAGGCGACAAAAGGTCGCTGGTAACAGATTATGACAAAGCCTCTGCTGTTCTTAGCCGTTAGCTGGATATTTATTTGTATATACTCTAAACTTTATTGCTAACCTACCCCCACCCCTCCCTCCTCTCTCCTCAACCAACCAACGCTCACACACTTATTGGCAGCAGCAGCGATAAAGTTCGTGGGCCAACATTGTCTTGGGACCCACAAGTAAGTAATAACGAACCGCAAGAACGGTTCTGATATTCACAACTGAGCGAATATGTCTCTCTCTCTCTCTCTCTCTCTCTCTCTCTCTCTCTCTCTCTCTCTCTCTCTCTCTCTCTCTCTCTCTCTCTCTCTCTCTCTCTCTCTCTCTCTCTCTCTCTCTCTCTCTCTCTCTCTCTCTCTCTCTCTCTCTCTCTCTCTCTCATTCCTACCCAAATATACCTTCCTAATAATGTTTCACCATTCACTGATAATTCTTAAATACCATCACAGAAAATGTAACTATCGCACCTCTAACTCAAGGAAAAACAAAATCGTTCAGAACCTTCATTATAGAATATCAGTCGTAAGGTGTGAAGCACGGCAATGTTTTCTTGTATGCATTTATTCCTGATTTTTTATTAAAAGGTGAGGCTTCCAGACGCAGGGACGAGGTTTCCATGCGCAGGGACGAGGCTTCCATATGCAGGGACGAGGCTTCCAGACGCAGGGACGAGGCTTCCATACGCAGGGACGAGACTTCCATACGCAGGGACGAGGCTTCCAGACGCAGGGACGAGGCTTCCATACGCAGGGACGAGGCTTCCATACGCAGGGACGAGGCTTCCATATGCAGGGACGAGGCTTCCAGACGCAGGGACGAGGCTTCCATACACAGGGACGAGGCTTCCATATGCAGGGACGAGGCTTCCATACGCAGGGACGAGGCTTCCATACGCAGGGACGAGGCTTCCATACGCAGGGACGAGGCTTCCAG